CCTTTAGCAGAACAACAGCATTTAATTTCCCCCAAGCCCACAGCTTTTCTAGTTAGGTTTCTGGCCACTTTTTATTTATTTATTTATTTATTTATTTACTTACTTATTTATTTATTTATTCATTATTCTTTCTTTATTTATTTGAAGTTTTCTTCTTTATTTTTAAATTTAAATTAGAAACAAGGTTGCTTCACATGTCAATTCCAGGTCCCTCTCCCTTTCCCCCATTTATTTTTTTTTTGTTTTGTTTTTGAGACAGGGTTTCTCTGTGGCTTTGGAACCTGTCCTGGAACTCACTCTGTAGACCAGGCTGGTCTCAAACTCACAGAGATCCACCTGCCTCTGCCTCCTAAGTGCTGAGATTAAAGGCGTGTGCCACCACCACCCAGCCACTTTTTTTTTTAATATATAGAGTCTCACTCTGTCACCTAAGCTGGCCTACAAGTCACCATGCTAGGAATATTAAGTATTTATAATTTATAATAATAAAGATAATCGCAGCATGGCAAAAACACTATTACCATTTGTGGGAATAGATTTGTGGCCCCTATTTCTGTTAGATAACATTCCATACCTAATTCTAAAAGTCAAGGGAAGGGCACTGTCGAACACTGTTAAAATCACATTGCAATGATGTCCTAGATGAGTCAAATAAGAAATTGGGAAGTTTGACTGAATATATAAGAATATATTATTGTGACTCTCAGGATATGAGTTATCAAGAAAAACTCGTCAGATTCACTCTTATAGAACAGGCCCATGTTTAAAGCATGTGGACTGGCTGTTGAATCAATCAATGGAAAATAATAGTAAGGGCAAAGAGAGGTCAATGTACTGTTGTTCTCTGTTGGTTTCACTTCAGCAGAGTTCCTGAAAAGCAATTACCGCAAAGCAGGACAGACTGCAATGCCAGGCTAATTGCACTTGTGAACAGCCGTCGAACACGAAACGACTTGATGACACATGAATTCGCTTAAAATAGCTTAACAAATTGTTTGGTCTACAAAGCCACCCAAAATAAGTATGGTAAACCAAGAAAATCCCAATGCATTTCACTAGGGAGCAAGTAAGAGAAGGCTCTTATTAGATCAGTAAGTGAGGATTTTACTCTGAGAAAGGAGAAAAGGATAGGAGGGAGGGAGGGGCCAACGGAGGACACTCTTTTTCTAAATTAAAACTGTATTATAAAGAGCCCACAAATAAAAAAATCACCTTGTAAAATTACCCAGAACCAAAATCTTGAAATGTATAGCTGTAGTTTAACTTTTTCTATTTACAAAAATTTAAATGTGTGTGTGTGTGTGTGTGTGTGTGTGTGTGTGTGTGTGTGTGTGTGTGAGTGTGAGATGGAGAGAGAGAGAGAGAGAGAGAGAGAGAGAGAGAGAGAGAGAGAGAGAGAGAGAGAGAGAGAGAGAGAGAGGACAACCTACATGAGTTGGTTCTCACTCCCCACCAAGTATGTCCCAGAGATCGAACTCAGGTTTTCAGGCTTGGCAGCAAGCATCTGAACCCACTGAAGCATCTCACAGGCCAATGGATTTCACTCCTCTAGGAGAGAGGACAGTCAAACTGAATCCACTTGGGCCAACGCTATTCCAGGACTCCGGGGTAAAAGGCAATACTAGACAACGGAGTGTCTCCTGTAGCCTCTCATGAAAACTGGCATTCTCTTAAAACTGGACAGAGAAGCACAAAATAGCCCTCACCAAGAGCAAATACTAGAACGTAACCCGTGGAGGGCACACCCCACTCCATTCACGCCCCCCAGCTTGGAGTTCGCTGGCTTACCACTGTCAGGGTCCCAACCACAGTCCTGCCCCTCACCTGCATGATGTTCTCTTGTGCCCCTCACTAGGGGTCAAGGTCCCAAACTTGCTCCAGACTGGCAGAGGGAGCCAGCCACCTCTGGCTAGTGGTTTCTAACGTCCCAGGGATGGGGCCGGGAGAAACAGAACCTCCTGCGCATGTCCAACGGTAAGATCAGTTGCCAAGCAACACAGAGGCCTGGTTCCCAGGTGTGTGGACCCTGGTGCATCAGGTCCTGGGGCTTTCCTGTTGGTCACGTGGTGATTGTGTCGCTGCCATTCCACCCTCCTCTGCCACCGCCATGTTCAAGCCTACTCGGCAAGGTTGAATCCAGTATTCATGGAGAAAAACAAAAAACAAATTCCTTGCTTGGAGAACCCTTCAGAGGAGTTCTTAACTATAGTCTATTTGGAGATGGAATTTTAAGGGGCATCTAGGCACTCGCCTCAAGTTGTGAGTGTAATTTGTTGTGTCTCCCCTCCATTTTTTTTTTAAAGCTTGGACCACGCCTTTTCATCAGGATCCCTTCTGGCTCCATGTGCCTGTGAACCTAACCTCTGGGTGAGATGAGGAGAAGTATGGGAGCCGGAGGTCAACCCGGGCTACATATTGAGAATCTGCCTCAAATGAACAAAATTAAAACGAAATAAAAGTCACTAGAAGAAAGGACCCCGCACTCCATTTGGGAACTCTGGCTTAGGTGGGAGACAATAGAGAGTTGGGTTTCTCTGTGTTTACATCAAGAAAGGATTTTACTAGGAATAATTTACTAGGGAAACAACCATGCAAGTTTATGCACATGGTCCCAGAAACAAGAAAACATGTACTTAGCATAAGGATTCAGGCATTATGCTGGCCTGCCCCTGTCACCTGGCAGAATGTACTCAGGCAGTACCCTGGTCAGCCCAGGCTTCCATGGAGGTGCAAAGGACCCTTTTAAGAGAAGGACTCTGCCCACGTAATGGTCTTTCTGCCTGCTCATCTCTTTCTGCTCTCTTCTATTTCCGGCTCCTCTCTTTCCACTCTCTTTCCTGCTGCTCCCCTGGGGCAGACTGGACTTTTCCCATCTCTCCTCTCCTGTCCTCTCTGTCTCTGTCTTTTTGTCTCTTTTCTCTTCCCTTCCCCCTTCCATCTCTGTTCCCAGTTAGCCAACACCTACCCCTCCCTTTGTGGTACATCACCCGCAGAATCTGCAGCAAAACAACTCTTAGTAACGCCATTATTTTAAAAATTTTCTAGACAGGTCTTCTGTGTGTAGTTTTGTAGACCAGGCTGGCCTGAAACTCACAGAGGTCCAACTGTCTCTGCCTCCGGTGCTGGGATTCAAGGCGTATGCCACCGCTATCCAGCTAGTAACACAATATTAAAACTTGAGTTCAGTAATGGAGCAATTCACCTGCAGTGACCAGGGCAGATTATTATAGATTCCAATACAGCATCTACACTCCGAGCATCCTACAGTGTTTGTGTGTGACACACTTAAGTGAAAACAGTAGTCTTTGTAACCACGTCTTGGTATTTCTGCTTTTCACCCTTCCTCACTTTTATGTGACATCCCTTAAAATACACACGCAATTCATGTCTGTCTGGACTTTTAGCGGACTCTTCTGCCTAATATTCAAACCCCCTTTATTTTATTTTAGAAACAATCTTATTTTACTTATCAATCCCCCCATTCCTCGCCCTGTCATCCTCCTATGCTCCCCACCGAACTCCCAACCCACCCCCCACCAACTCCCCAAGGATAGTGAGGCCCTCCACGGAGGACCATCAAAGTCTGTTACATCATTTGGGGGAGGGCCTAGGCCCTCCTTCCTGTATCTGGGCTGGAATAGTGTCCTGCCATAGGGAATGGGCTCCCAAAGTCCGTTTGTGCACTAGGCATAAACACTGGCTCCACTGTTTGAGGTCCCATAGACTTCCCAGGTCTCCTAGCTGGCACCCACATTCAGAGGGCTTGGTTCGGTCCAATGTTGGTTCCCCAGCTTTACAACTAGGAGCTCTGCGCTCTCACTAGATCAGGTCAGCTGTTTTTGTGTAAACCCCTTTTCTTATTTTGACCCAAGAAAATAATGGGAGGGGCAAAAAAGACAAAATGTTGCATGTTTTTCTCATATGCAATATATAGATGTAGATGCAGATGCAGATATGGATATAGACATAAACACAGACATAGATATAGATAAAGATATAGATATAGATATATGACATGAAACCAGAAGAGGGATTCTTTGTCAGGGAGAAGAGAACAAAGAGGGGTAGTAGGAAGAGTAGAGGGGTAAATATGAACAAGAAGTATAAATATGTATGAAAATACCATAAGATATGATGTTTGTTAACTAAAGAAATTAAAGTCCAGACACAGCTAATGCTGCCCCACACATTCACGGCTTTAGAACAGGGGCCCTCACTGCTCTAAGGGTCACCCTGCAAAGGCAATTAGCTTTTAAAGGAAGAACATGATCTGTTTTTTCTCTCTGTTTCTTCTTAATTTATGTCCTTCCTAGGGCTTGGTAGGAAGAGTAAGTCAGGGACTTCATGAAACATGTTATCTAAATGATAACCAGGTCTGGTTATCATCAACCCCTGGAAAGGCTATTTTTTTTCTGGTAATGAACAAGGTTGGCTGCCCTTCATTGGTTACAAGGGGAAACAGTTTCAGATAAACCAATTACTACCAGTCGCCAGGGAAAGCACTCTGTTATATTTGTAGCAACCTGAAATCTACACTATAATATATAGATCATAGTTTGCTTACTGGAACATAGGATAAGTCATAACTCATGTAATCCCCATTGGTTTTTCTAAGACAGCTAGCACTCTATTTTGTTGCTATTTCATTTGTTTTTGCTTTTTAGATAGAGCCTTGCTACATATCCTGGACTAGTTTTGAACTTGCCTATATCCTGTCTCAGCATCCCAGATGCTGCAATTAAAGACATGGACCATCATAGCAGTCTGCATTCAGATACTTATAAAAGCTGATGAGTTTATCACTGACGTAATCCAGATTGGATAAAGGAAAAGAGTTCAGCCAACTCTCTATGAGTGTATTTAGCAAATGCTTAAAATGTATGCAGGAGTATCTGTAGGTGCAGCTTTGCCATGCACAATTGATCATTGTAACACTACATGAATGATTTTAAGATGCTGTTTTATTTTCAACAAATTAAACATTATAATCTTAACTATCACAAAGAATGTTACAATACAGGGGTGACAACAGTAAATTTAAGAGGGATTATTTTTAAAAACAAAATGTGAGTACGTTATATATCACATCAAGCTGTTTCAATGGAAAATTACGTGACATCCTGTAAAAAGGAAAAAAAGAATTAGATTCACATATATGCGAGTCTAAGAATACGTACATACAATGCTTATGTAGACATTTCTATGAATTTTTGTTATAGTATAATAACATCAGCAATTGAGGTATTTCCTAACTGTTCTTCAGCCCCCACCCCTACCTCATGTATATCTTACCATTTATCACTTAGCCACTCTCTGATGGCACATTTATTCTACTGCTGTGGAATAATTCCTTGGTACACCATGCAGATTTGTTGATGTGATTGGTTTAATAAACAAGCTGACTGGCCCATAACTGCACAGAATAAAGTTAGGTAGGAAAGTCAACTGCGAATGCTGGGAAGAAGAAGGAAGGAATCGCCAGTCAGATGGAGAACAAGTCTGACACACAAAATGGGATAGAGGGAAAAGCCATGAGCCTCAGGGCAGCTCATAGATTGGTAGAGATGGGTTAAGCTGTAAGAGCTAGTTAGTAACAAGTCTGAGCTATTGGTGGAGCATTTATAATTTATATTGTCTAAGAGTCGGTTATTTGGGAAGTGACTGCTGGTTATTTGGGAACAGATAGGACAGGAGAACTCCATCTACTTTCTTCATATCTGTATGTCTCAATAGGTTATAATATTTAGTAACACGAAAGTAGTTGACTAAAAGGTCATCAGTTCCAATAAGGATTATAAGTATTTCAAGTTTTTCCTACATCTACCTTAGAGCATGGCCCAGTTCATCTATAACCTCATGGAGAAGAAGACCCTGGCGCAGCTGAATGCTGCTGTGACTTAATCCAAACCTCAATTGGCCACATTTTGGCTCTCTACCAAGGTTAAGTTGGTCCTCCAACTCCTGCTAAGATCCTTCAACTATTCAGATGGTGAAAAAAAATCCCAAGTGCTGAAACTGAGAGTTTCAAAAAGTTCACAGTTAAGGAAGCCATGCTGAATGCCTTGGTTGCCATTGAGGTGTGGATGATACTTTTCTATCTGAGATCATTAGCAAATGTGACATCATTGGCTATAGAATTTGAAGACTGACCTTTTATATCTGATTTTATTTAAGTTCTTATTTGAATGTTCTTGGACCACATCTGATGAGACTGGGATCGAAATAAAATAAAAGCTATCAAAAAAGTTTTTCTTGTTAGTTTATTTTTATGTCTGGCATGATATCCAGAGTTTATACTTATTTTCTTACTGTTATCAGGATAAAGCAAGAGATTAGGTAATCAGATAACAAAATCAAGAGGGAGATGACTGTGGAATTGTGATTCTATTTGTAAATAAATTCCTAAGCAAAATAGACTAAGTAGGCCCTAAGCTCGGGAATAGATCACAAAGTTTGTATGCTCTTAACTTCAGAGAGAAGTTCATGCTAAATTGATCAAATTCCATTTCACTTTGTGCCTGTGTGCAGAGTGTTCTCTGTGATTTTCACTTCTCTAATTGTTTTAATGTCTGTCTTTTTATTTCTTTTTTTTGTACTTATTCTTTTGTCTTTTTCTAGAATAAGCTGGGTGAAATTACTTATTGTTTTCAAAGACCTAGACTTCTTTGCATTAAGAAATTTCTGCTCTGCTCCTTTTAATTTTTCAAGAACTTATGTGTGTGTGTGTATGTGTGCTGTGTGGGGTGCCTGTGGAGGTCAGAAGAGAGGTTAGACCCCTAGGAGTAGAGTGAATCACAGGCAATTGAGAACTGCCCAGTGTGTGTGTGTGTGTGTGTGTGTGTGTGTGTGAATCAAATTCAGGCCCTCGGCATAAACAGCACTGTACACCTCTGAGCCATCTCTCCACACCCACGCCTCCACACACCCCCAGAACCCCCATTCCCCCGGCCACTTTTTAAGATGGGGTCTCATGTAGCTCCACCTATGCTGAGATTGTCTGTGTGGTTTTGTGCATGCTGGGTCATCACTCTATTTATAAAGATTTTCTGAGAATGAGATCTTTGGAAGACAGAAGGGCATGCCAGTGAATCCTGATCCCCCCTCCATTGGACACAGACTAACAGAACGGGAACGAAATCCCTGACATTACAACATGCACAATAAAAGATGATGCTGTCATTATCTCCAAAAATCTCTTTGGATGACTAAGTGTCATAGACCAAGGAATACTAGGACCAAAGCAAATCTAGTCCTAAAATAACAGTACTTCCCATTCCTAAAACCTGTATTACCCCTACAATTGTAGTATTTATATATAATGTTAGTGTCCACATGCAATTGAACAATAGAAACATATTTGAGCAAGCTTGTGAGTTCAGTTGTGAAATAATGCTGTTTTCATATTTATTTATCTATTTTTTGAACACATACCATTTTAAATGAAACCTGTTGACCTCTTCCCATTGCGTGGCTGAAAAAATAATAAATTACAAATAAATCATTGTAGCTAATGATGTAATTGTCATTGAAAGAAGCCTAATGATATAAAGAAGTGTCCTTAATTTGCATTGAGGTCACCTGACAAGCTTTGGACAGAACAGAAAAGAAAAGGGCTTGCTTCTGATTTACTGAGTCTGAGATGGAACTTGGAAATGTGTATTTCTACCAAGTTCTGAGACATTGCTAAAACTGCCACAGCCACGATAAAGTAGAAACTACTCAAATTTGCTTATGGGGAACCAACATCTGAAAAGAAGTGCTCTCAAATTTCATTTTGATACGAATCAAAGTTAACTTTCTGAAATCATGGTGTTTTATATATTCTTGCTATCGGTCTAGTCCTGCAATCCAGTTCAGCCCATGATCCAGCAGGCTGGTGTAAATCTTTCCCCAGGAACATCATCTTGAACTTCAGCATAAAAGTGAAATTGTTCAGCTAAGTATTTCATTAAATGCATCCTGCCTAATCTTCAGTCTTCGCACATAAAGTCATCTCTGTGCCACCTCCAATCCTCAGGTAAAGTGTTTGTCTCAACTCTCAGCTAAAGATGACCTACAGAGGATGTGATAGGTTTCTTTAAAGAATCCCCCATGGATACCAAGGGGTGACTGTACTTTATTTATCATTTATCTGTTTGTTATATCAGGCTGTATAGGACTAGGTTTACAAGCTGAACTCTACCATCTCTTAAAATATTTTATTTTACTATAAATTATTTATATGTGTGTATGGATGAATGTATGGGAATGCAGGTGCCCACAGACGTCAGGAGAGAGCTGCAGATGTCCTGGAGCTGGGGTTACAGGTTGTGAGATTCCTGAAGTAGGTGCTGAGAACTGAATTCTGGTCCTCTGTAAGAGTAGTAGGGCTCTTACCCTTATCTTTTCACTCCTATCTACCGATACCTTTTCTAGCCCCTATTAGAAGTTCAGTAAATAGTTGCTAAATACATTTATTAAATGTTTAACTTTCTGGTTATATGTTAAGAAAGTACATATTGCATAAAACATGGCTATTTAGAAACAAATTTATACACAAATGCAAAATGATAAATGTGGTCACAAAGCTATCTTTTCTCAGAGTTTTTATTATCATTGAAGCTTTAATGTTAAGAATTTGTAAACATAGTCACAACCCCTGCAACCCATTGAATCGAAACTTTAATAGCTTATTCCTTGTACTTGTGAAATAGCTTTAAATATGTTTCCTTTACACAAAAATATCACAAAATTAAACTATGAAGTATATGAATTTACAGATGGTAGTGGTGAGAGGGAGATAAGAGAAGCTGGGGTTTGAAACAATAGGGTAGCGGCAGAAGTGAAATCAGAATAAGACACTGAATGTAGCCAGGTGGTGATGGCACACACCTTTAATCCCAGCCTTGGGAGGCAGAGGCAGGTGGATCTCTGTGAGTTCAAGACCAGGTTGGTCTACAGAGGGAGTGCCAGGACAGGCTCCAAAGCTACACAGAGAAACCCTGTCTCAAAAAACAAAAACAAAGACACTGAATGTCAAATTTCTGTAAGTTCACTGTAAAACTTCACTAAAATGAGTTGACTCAGTGAACATACATTAAAAATACTTGGTCAATTTTCATTCATATTGATCATAAAATGCTTTATATACATACCCTGAATAAAAAGTATCCTCTACTTTGACTAGCAAAAGGACTTTGGAATTCCTCCTGGAAGAAATAAAGATAATATAACAAATTAAGCAACACTAAAACAAATGCAAATTCCTCTTAAGAGTGTAGTGAAGTTCAATATTATTTTCAGTTATTCCAACTCAACAAAAGGTGCCAAAGGCTTGAGTAGAGTATTCCTGTCATAGAGACTGGTTATGTTTACATCCAAATCATTTCAACAACCACCAAAATCCCTAGAATGGCACATTTAAAAATAGTTTTTCTTTTAGGAATGTTGTCAGGTGTATGTATAGTCATCAGTAAGTAGAAAGAAATGCCAGGCACAATGTATTTAAAAATCTCTTTTTGACATTTTGCTCGAATAAAATAATCTTTTTAACATAAATGTTAGATGTGGTCATATATGAGCAGGAAAAATGCAAGCTGGAATTGCTGTTAAAGCAAGAATATCATACTTCTACATGGAAACTGAGGGACAACTTTGGCAAATGTATGTTTTAGTCAATGCCTTGAAAGAGGGTGTCTTGATATTATTGTATGTAGAAAATGATAATGAAAAATTGCCAAATAGGAACAACCATGTATTTATTACAGGCATATTACATAGTGTTACTTAAGCATACCATTCTAAACTTCATGGAAAGAATATTTAACATTTTATAATTTCCATAGAATTGGTTTGTATTTTCCTGTTTGTATTAATACTTCATAGCTATTAATATATTTATCAGTCAAAACTGTTTTCAGTTTTCCTATAAGTAGGATTCTTTGCTTTATCCTATGAAATGCCTCTGATATCTATTTAAGTTAATAAATCCTTGATTTACAGAAAATATGTATATAATTCTCAATATTTGTACTTAATTCTTAGTTTTACTATACCCCTCAAATTACTTAAGATAGAACATTGGTATTTAAAATGTGTACACAGAAATTGTATGTTTAGGTACTTGTTTAAAAAACAGTTCCTGTGTGTGTTCAAGATTTAAAAAAAAAGAACACAATGAAAATTGAATAGACTAATTCCTGAAAACATTAACATGCAGCAGCAAAGCAAAGGGTTTCAGGGTGCTGTCATCAGAGTTGGAGTCCTCAATAACTGAGGGAATTTGGGAAGGAGAGATTAAAAGGAATGAATCCAGAAAACAAAATGGAAAATGTTTGAATGCACTAAAATCTATTTTTTTCTTTTAGAGATAAGATATTTCACTACAAAACTGTATTTTAAAATTAGATGACATTGGTAAGCATGGCCAACACTCTTCTGTAATTGTTTTTCATCTATCTGTTACATTCCTGCTCTAAAAGCTTCCTAATGACATTGTGGGAGAACGTCTTTAGGATTCACCTTTATTTGGCAGCATGCACTTCCACAGGTCCCAAGCATTTGGATAGCTGTCTGAAGCTAAAATAGTCTCACTCAAGCCAGAACATGATACCATGTGCTAAATTGTCTACAATAATTAACATTACGCAATCTTTCTTTGTGTAACTAGTGAGACAAGTAATGTAGTCAAAACAATTATCACTGGTTAATATAGGCATTGTAAGTAAATTTTTTAAAGTGTGCATTTATTTCTAGAAACTTTGATGACAATTGACTTTCGTCTTCATTTTGGGAATTCTCTCATTTGGGGGTAGGGTGGTGTGCTAGAATTGAACCCATGGCCTCACACGTACCAGGCTATTGCTCTGCCACTGAATAGTCCCAGCCTTAAGAAAGCTACACATTTAAGGTGTCATTAAATCTCCTCTTAGATTTTCCTCTAAAGTTAGCAGCAGATAACTGTATTCAACTGAAGCTAAAAATGTGAAGAATTTTGGGAGGAAATAATGATTATAAAAAATAAATTCTGTATGATTTTTAAAAATTGCTTAATGAAGAATAAAAAACCCACAGCATTAAAGTTAAGAAAACACAGGCCTGAATTCATCTTTTAAAACTAATATGTGTAGTGGCAACCATATAATAATGAAGTAACTAACCATCATTAAACCATAAGGGGAATATCACAGTGAAAAAGTTCCTTGTTTGTTTGCTTTTGACCTAGACTAAGGGTCAGTGAACCGCATTGTCACCTCTCATACTAGACAGCTCATGGAAACATATTTAACTAATGTGACTTCCCTTCCATTAACTTGGAATAGCAGAACCTGTGAAAGCCCAGCCAGGTTCCCAATGAATCAAATGTGGTAATGCTAGACCCAAAATGCAATGTCTCACTTCAAAATGCTACCCAGGACTTTCAACATGAAAAGCATTAGCAGTGTTCTTCACTGACCCTGAAAATTCACAGTATCTAGTTAGCAATGCGTTAGCTTAGTCATATTTACCTTACACATTGGTACTAGATTTAGGTCCTATTTTTGTTAGCCACAGGAAAAATGAAACATTGACATTTGTTTTATGATGAATATAGTTATGATCCTTATTTTTATCAACATTTTAACACTTGTACAAAAAATTAGGTTACCCTAGCTATTTGTGAGCAAGGATATTGGGGCAATAAATTGTCTTTGATTGGATTTCCGATTCCTTCCTAAAGACTAAACACCCATTTTCCCCACTGTCCCAGGTTCAAGCTAGAAGGGTCCAGAGCACTTAGAGGGAGGAAGATCGTATGACTCAGTTATGCAGATTAACCAAGTATGTCTCCCAAAGACTTTGTGCTTGGTCAACAGTCTATGGTCCTATTGAGAGGTAGTGGGATCTTTCCATGGTGAGGCTTGTGAAACTGTGTCACTGTGTGCATTCACTTGAAGAGAACAGGGACACTAACCTCTTCCCCCCTCCTTCTTCCTAGTCACCATAGAGTGAGAGGCTTTGTTCAACTGAACATTCATCACTATGATTCTCTGCTTTACCACAGGTATAAAGCAATGGGGTTTGTCAAGTTGACGAAAGATTGAAGCCTCTAATAGGTTGAGCCCAAACACCTGGTTTAAATCATTTTCTTTCCCTCCGACATTGTGACAGAAAGCTAACACTGAGTATGAATGTGAGGGCCTCACTTGGAAGAAGGGTATTTTATAAAGGACCACAGCTGCAGTTAGCAGTAGGGGCTGCCCCAGAGCGGCAAAGCCAGCATGCAGTTTGTATTACGTAGTCCACCTTGAATCGCTTCATTCTTCTCTCATGCAGTTGAGGAACCAGCTGCAGCAACGGATGCACGACAGACGACTGCGAGAACATGAACACATGGTGAGCACCAGGGCTCTTCAGCATTGGGCATTTAGATGGCTTCCTGTCTGTCTGTCTGTCTGTCTGTCTGTCTGTTTGCGTTTTACCCACTATTCTCACCCCAGACCAAATGACCAAAAAAGGAAATTAAAGATATTATCTAAGACAGCCCATCATGCACCCTTTGTAGAACTGTGGGAAATAAACCAAGGCGTGGGATAAAATTTGCTAGTCCATAAGCCAAGAGGTGGGACAGGCTGCGAGTCCTACGTTAAGCTGTTTGTCATTATTTGGAGAAGCATTTTGCCAAGAGCCTCAGATCTGTTACAACTGCAACAGGTGCATCCCCAGGCTGCCTCTCTAGGAGGCAAAAAGCCATCTGTCATCTTCTACACTTACTCAAAATAATCTGGTCCAGACGAAGGCAACTCGAAAGTATCAGTTTTCCCTTATAAACATTGCTATCTGGATTCTTCTAGTACACACACCTGGAAATCTCCTTCATAAGTTAAATATTTAAAATGGAACAAGAGCAAGACAACAGGGGTCACAAAGGTGACACTGTGCTGCTGGCAGTGGAAAAGATGGCAAAGTATACCGTTTAAAAGTGAGGAGATGCCACGTGGGAGAAAGCAAAAGCACCTCTGAGATGCACAGCCACCTCATACAGCTGCACTCTCTTAAGGTCTTGGTGGAATCGAGTCTCCTCACTGACAGCGCTAGTTCATTTAACAAATGGACGACTTTCAACACTAGGTAATGATTATCTGTCCATGAATGCAACTCCTGTTTCATATGTAGCTAGTCTAACTTAAAACTTTCTTCTGTTTACATGGCAGGTTATTCGGTGTGGTTTGAATTTAAAATGGAGTTTAAGTTCACATTTACCTTTCCACCACACATTTAAACTACACTGTCTTTCCATTCCCTAAACTGTGCATAGTAGTGGATCCCAAGTTTAAGAAGAATATTATGGTCAAATAATTTCTATTTATTTATTTTACCAGTGCAGAAGATCAAACCCAGGCCCTTATTTATAGTATTCAAGGACTCTACGGCTATACCAAAACCCTGACATTTGTATTTTTTTTAATCCATGCAAAACTCAAACTAAAATAAAATAACAAAAACAAACAAACCAAAACCTACCACTGAAACCACATGCGTATGATGTGAAATGAATCTAGGTTACTCATTTCTGGTTACTCTGAGAATAAACTCACAATGAACATCTACCTAATGATAATGAACAAGAACAGATGATATTTCCAGTTAGCCATCAACACTGGTCTTTTGAAATAATTGTTTTTGAAAATGTCTTTGGATGACACTGCTTTTCTCTTGCATCAATATCACCCCAGACTATTTGGTTTACTTATTTGTTTGTTGTTAGACTTTTTTTTTTGATCACTAAATACAAATTGATGACGGAGGGGTTTCTTTCTTTAAGTATTTTTTTTACTTACTACCATATTTCTAGCATTTAGAATTGTGCCTGACACATAACTGTGAATGGATGACTATAAGGCACATGCAGTTATTGACATGCAAAATGTATAATAAATATTGATTTCCATTCATTCATTCACATATAAATTTAGGGTTTTCCTTCCTTTATGATACTGAAGAAGGAAACACTGAGCACATCACCAGATACACGCATAACTTTTTGCATAAGAAATATGAGTTTCTATGGGAGTCCAAAGTCCGTGTGTGTACTTGGGATGGGTACTGATCTGCTGCCCAAGGCTCAGTGAGGTGCACTCTCACCCTGAACTCTTGGGGAAGGGTCTAGGCCCTGCCCTATATGAAATGACAGACTATGGACATCCCCATGGAGGGCCTCACCCTCCTGGGGGAATGAGGGGATAACGGGGGGGGGCTGGGGGGAGGGCACGGGAGGAGGGGAGGGAAAGGGAGAGGGACCTGGAACTGACTTGTGAAGCAACCTTGTTTCTTATCTAAATTTAAACTGGAAAATTTTTAAAAATGAGATAAAAAAAAGAAATATGAGTTTCTGTCTCATGGTATATTAGGTAATTTTAAAAAATCAGTTTTCTCTTAAGCACATGCTAGTGACTACTTACCACAATATTTGAGTTTCCTGACTTCTCTGTCTTTGAATAATGAAATAAGAACTGTTAAAACAGAAAGCAGAGTTATGTATGAAAGAGCTGTGACTTCCTCTGTTCTTTTCAGGGTATATGTATTTAGGAAAATCACCTTACCCTCTTAGTATTATCTTTTTCATTTTGTTCCTAGTGAAGAGATGTATATCATTATAACACACATTATAAAACTTTATATTACATCCTTTGAAATTGTGAGTTATTTAGAATTTTAAAATTATGGCACATTATATTTCAAACATAGGACTAAATTTAACATCTTTTGCCCCCAAAAATAAATGGAAAATTGATTAAATATTTATAAAAAAGTAGGCAGTGATCTTTTCTACAAAATCATAAGAATAACAAATTGGAAGCATGCTCAACGTTCAACAGTGGTGGAACGGGAAGACGTTTGTTTAGTTGGCTGTTTGCCTATAGGACTTCAGTCTTACCAGAGGCTGCTGGAGACTCTCCGTCACCACACGGCAAAGCTCCCTCAGTGCAGTTGGTGCCTAAGACAAACAAGAAGGCATATGGGCTGTGCTTCACATTGCATATCTGCACAGAGGGTGAAACTGAAGATACTGGAAACCCAAGAGCTGCAAAGAGGGCTTACTGTGGTCCACTGAAACTCTGTAGGCTTCTCTTGATTTCTCTCATAATAACCTTTTGGCTGCTGAAACATCCTAGGGCCAGGGTGATGGTTCAGCAGGTAAGAGAGTTTGCTGGGCTAGCAGGAGGACTTGAGTTCAAATCCCTAGCACTTACACAAAAGTCTTGCATAGCTGAGTGTGTCTGTAACCCTAGCATTGGGCACGGAGATAGGTAGATCCTGGGAGTTTGCTGGCCAGTCAGTCTAGACACAGTGACAAATTTAAGGTTCAACGAGATCCTCATCTCAAAAAACAAACTGGAGCGTGATGGTGGAAGATGCATGATGTCTTCTTCTGGCCTCAGCTTGGGTGTATGTGGGTATGCATTCCCATGTACACACACACACACACACACACACACACACGAGTGCACATACAAGAAACAGACGAAAAGATCCTTCTTTCCTTCCAGCAGCTGTGCACCGATGGAGCCTTTCACTGTGGTCCAGTTACATAGTTCTCACTGCTCGCTGAGACATCATGGAACTCTATGACTAAGACAACCAGGGTTGTGCCAACTAGGGATTAGCCTTCCTAGCTTGTAGAGAAGTGCATGTGCATGCCAAAGCTGTGAGCCTCACTGAACATTACTCATTACTGGCTAATTTGAAAATCCTGCAATTGCTCTCAAACAATGGGGACTGAAGGGCAAGAAGCCGTGCGTGGTGCCCCTTAATCCGAGTGCCACCCTTTCCAGGATGCTGACTGCACACCCCAGAATCAGGTTTGTCAAAGCATCCGAGCACAGAATTAGGGCAGGCATCCTGTGGTTGGCAGCCAGCTGGGCGTGGTGAGGAGTGGCGCAAATGGACAAGCAGGGGCAAACCCTGTTTTGCACAGGACCTAGCATAGTCGTCCTGTGAACCACTGATTCCTTCTAGGCTCCTTTCTGAAGTCACAAAAAGCTGGGAGGTGAGGGGCAGCGTAGTAGTGGTTAAAGTGTGGGCTGCGAAGGTTAATGGCCTGGAAGTAGAAAGCAGTGCGGACAGATCCCGTTTCTACTCCACACCATGTTACTGTAGGCCAGTTACCTAATCTCTCTAAACTTAGTTTCTTCAGCCAGAAATCTGGGGTGATGTCACTGCAGGAAGTTCCCGGAAGGATTAAAGGCAGGAAAAACTCTTTGGTTTAATTTACGACTGCGGGTGCTCTCAACTTGGAAACGAGAGAAAAGATGGCTCAGTGCTGTCAATATCCTGACCCAGAGCACTTAACGTGCCTGCCTGTGGCTAGAAACACAGTTGGAGTCACTGTACAGCGCCCGCCCACTACATCCTTCCTACTTCCAGAGGTCTGTTTTTATCTTCTTCCTTCTGTCTGTTTGCTTTCAAGGCAAATCGCTGGGATATATATTAATACTACAAAATGAACCGAGTGTATAGTGGTGTTTCAGTGTATTAGAAAATACTCCCCTGTGCAAAATTTTCATTCTGTTCTTGAAACACATGGACAAGGAACGCAGGACAGGAAATGGTACTCTTTTGTATGGAGGAAATTAGGTCCTACAAGCTTGCCACTTGTCCAGTACCTTACGAAGTTGTAGCTGACTGTGTGGAGTGGGAGCCAGGTCTTCTACTTACAGATACACCTTGGTGGCCTCAGCAATGCCTGCTGTTCCTGTAGTTGGGAGTTGGCTATTTTTCAGTTGTTTTATGGTGACGGAGGTGTCACATAAATGCTGGCTGGGTTGGTGCTCTATCACTGAAGCCTGTCTCCAACTATTGGGAACTGAATGACAGAAGTACACAGCGTGATACTTCTTACCTGTTCCCTTCAGGACACTCCATGAAGTTCTAACAATAATATCCCCAAAGTTCATCTTTCAAATAGTCCACATAGAAATGCAGTAAAATCCAAAGGAACTAAAAGGAAATACTCAGCCATGCCTCACGTCAAAGACATATTTCAACTGCAGATATTTATGAAAGTAGGTTGTCTCTTCTTAGGAAACCATGTCTAGGCTCAATGAGATTTGGCAATAACACTGACCTTTGACTGGAAACATTGAAAAATAAATGCATTTTCTCTAGCTCTTCTTTGTAAGAAGCCATTGTTCTCAACAATTCTTTAAGGACTTGCACACATGGGATAGGTGACATTTTATCTTGTACTTATGGACCTTAAAGTTCTTAATTTGGTGAAAATATCTTGAAGCACTACTCAGATAATCACATAGTTAATAAAATAACAGCTAATGTGAAAATTAATACATAAAGTATCAAATGTATTGAAATGTATTATATTCATCATAAATGTAAATAACAGAAACATCACATCTGCCAGGCTCTTCTTAAGGGAAGGCCTGCCTCCCTCTGAATGGAGACGGAGGAGGAGTGGAGTGGGGAGAGAGGGGAGGGGGGAGGAATGGGAGGAGAGCAGGGTGGTGAAACTGCAGTCAGGATGTAAGATAAATGAAAAAAATTGAATTAATTCTTTAAAAGGTGCACAGAAATAAAATTCAATAAAGAGTTAATTTGTGGAGCTGGGGCAATGGCCCAGTGCTTAAAGTGGCTGTTGTATAAGTGTGAGGACCAGAGTTTGGATCCCAGAGGCCAAACAAATGCAGAGTGGGTGTGTCAGCCCCAGACCAGCCAAAGAAGATGGAGACAGAGGATTCCTAGAGCAAGCTGGCTAGCAGGATCGGCCATATAGGCAAGGTCTGCGTTTGATCGAGAGACCCTCTTCCAATGAATAAGGTGGGAGAGGGATGGAAGGTAATTCCTGACATTAATCTGGAGGCTTCACATACATAGCACACATGTACAGTGTGCACTCACATACAGTGTGTACACACACACACACACACACACAAATAGAAAAACACTTTTTTAGGTTAGTTTATGTCGATAGAGTTTAAACAAGTGATTAAAATCTTATCCAGTGGGTACTGTGGATAAAAAAACTATTCTGAAGCTGTTACTGAATTTTAAGTTCAACACAAAGGCTTACATGCTAACATCCATCCCATGTCATTCACCTGACAGTGCTTCTTGTGGCTTGAAGAGGTCTCCCAGAGACTCACCATTTGTGAGACTGTGGGGGAGTCTGCGGAGCCACTGGGAGGTGGAGATTTTCTTGGAAGAAGCGGATCTTGGAAGAGGGGCCTGGAACCACTTCCTGTCCCTGTTTGCTGTGTACAGATGCAATGTGACACTTCCTGTCCCTGTCTGCTGTGTACAGATGCAATGTGACCACTTCCTGTCCCCGTCTGCTGTGTCCAGATGCAATGTGACCACTTCCTGTCCCTGTCTGCTGTGTACAGATGCAATGTGACACTTCCTGTCCCTGTCTGCTGTGTACAGATGCAATGTGACCACTTCCTGTCCCTGTCTGCTGTGTACAGATGCAATGTGACCACTTCCTGTCCCTGTCTGCTGTGTACAGATGCAATGTGACACTTCCTGTCCCTGTCGGCTGTGTCCAGATGCAATGTGACCACTTCCTGTTCCTGTCTGCTGTGTACAGATGCAATGTGACCAGCCAGTCTGCTGCTCCCGCCACCATGCTTTCCCTGCCACGATAGACTGTATTCCCCCAGACCATGAGCCAGAATAAAGCTTTTCACCCTTCAGTTGCTTTTGTTGGGATGTTTTTTCACAGTAGTGAGAAAGCAAGTAAGGCAAAAAATCCCAGGTGAAAGTAAGAATTTGAAATATTGTATCTTGCTTCCCTCCCCTCTGCCTAACCCCATGCAAATGCCTCTAACTTCTGGCAGGGGAATCTCTGGAGCTAGAAAATGGCATTACACAAGGCTGCTTCTCCACTCCTGCCAGGATCACCATATGGAGAAACTTATTCATAGTCACTTAGCCTTGGCCAGGGCTTGTAACTGAGGCACATTAATTTCTGCCAAGGATCCTAGAGGTACTGAATATGAAAACAAAGTCAATAAGGAGAGCTCAGGGTCCATGCCTGCGGGTAGAAGCAGCAGCATTCAGTAAACTATGGGTAAGGATAACACTCACTTCCTGCCCCTCATGTCTCCACGTGGAGCAGGTAGGCTCGCTCTTCCCTCACCCCTCCTCCCGTGGGAAAAGAAGTGAGCTGCCTCCTAGGTAGCCTGAAAGCAGGGAAGTGGGCATGCACAGTTCAGTCTTTCGTCTTCTGTGCTAGCATTCGGGTCAGCTGTATTCATTGATGTGTATTCATTGTATTCACTGATAGCTGCCTCAGGTCTGATGGAAGACTCAGTGCCTAAGTCCTTCCAGAAAGCTTGATTCTGGTACCAGGTCTATAACAATAGCCAAGTTAGCTTTTTGATAAGTGTTCTGGTAGGTTTCAAACTCATTTGGGAGCCAGATATTAGCTCTTTAGATAGAGCAGCAGATGCAGCATTTTTAAACACACTATCTGATTTTGAAATTAGCACTTTGATAGTCCACAATTTCCATAATACATTTATTTTACCTAAAAATAAAAGGTTAACCCCTGAAAATGGAAGCCCAGAGTACTGATACTTCCTGAAGATAATACAGCTATATCTATCATGTGATAAGTCTTAGTGAGTTCAGAGGGAGAAATGGAGATTTTTAAGCGGCAGGAAATGCCTACATTATTATGAAACACCTCCAGATGAAATTACCTGAGGCTGGGAATCAATAGACAGAAAGGATGAACAAGCTTCATGCACCTGTAGAAAACAAAGACATCATTTACACCCTAGGCATAGAAAAAAAGCCCCAAACAGAAAGCAGACTTTACCAAGTCATCACATACAGACAGCAATTAAAGAGCCATGGCAGCCTTGACCCCTAAGTTGAGAGAAGAGGCAAGTCTAAAGCCTTATTAGAAAGTCCCAGGTGCTGAGCATGGTATTATATGCCCTTGATTCCCATCTCTGAGGCAGGGGGATTGTTATAAGTTAGATGCCAGCTTGGACTTTACAGTAAAACCCTATAGACAGGAAAGAAAGAGAAGAGGGAAAACAAGAAAGAAGGAAGGCAGAGTGTGAAATAACAGAGGAAGAGAAAGGGAGTCCTAGAATTGGGAGTTGTCCAAGATTCACTCCTGGCCATTGGAAAGTATTCTCCAATATCAGCTGACAAAGACCATCAGAGTGTATGACGATTCCCCAAACACTAATGAAAAGGTAAGAGTTCTGAAATAATTCAGCCTAAGCAACCTGAGAGCATGAGAGAACATACCAAAAAAATGGCCTCAAAATGGAATGCCAATGGTTGCTGTACAGTTCTGATTTGACATGACTCTAATGCCATTTCACTTAGCCTGATAACTGAATGACACACAGCATACAGGAAAAGTCTTAGGACAACATAAGCCATAGATCTCCATCTCGTAATGAACGCTTAACTCAACTATGGCTGGCCACTTGCTGTTTTCAGCCTTTATCCTAAAAAGAAAATGTTAGTGGCCTTACATTGTTAGAGATCTCACAAGCTGTATCAGCTTGCACAGGCCTATAATCCCAGTACTTGAGAGGCTGAGGCAGGAGGATCACAAATCTAAACCAGCTTGGACTACCTAGTGAGACTGACATAAACCAGCAGAGTAAAATACAAGCAGAGATTTATCGTAACCATAAAAAGCTATGCTGACTAGTTAAACCCTAAGCTGTGTGTCTGCAGTATTTATGGCATACATGTCTTTGGTGGACTTCAAAACAGGACCAGAAAAAAAATAATAGCACTGATGCTCAGGTGTCTGGAGTGGTTTCAGTTAAATCTTCTTTGTGGTAAAGCATCACAGTCTCTTCCAGTGTCAGAATTCTTTATTGGTCTACTTAACTGAAATTGTATTCTTACACCAGACTAAGAGGGGTAGTTATGTTCCTCAATTGTAGCTTTTTAAGCTCCTTGTTGTTTCCAAGTTGGCAGCATCCTGAAATAAATGATTCTTGATCTCAGAGAACAGAGAGGGCATGAGCTAGTGCAGAAAATCAGGGTCTCACATCTGTCATAGCTCACAGAATACATCTTTACATATCCCAGGTATGAGAGGAATATTCAGAAATTTGGCAGGTACCTACTTCCTCATACAGAGAGATGGGGGAGGGAGGGAGGGCAGGAGGGAGGGAGGGAGAGAGTTTTTTTGAGTTACACTGTATTTAACTTGACAAGAATCACTGTTAAATAAAAGTTCTTGAATTGAATTTTTGAAAAATCCCAAATGCACAAAGAGGAGCCAACTGAAGGTTTAGATGAAAAGACGATGCCCTCTGAAGCTGTGAACACAATGGTCGTCATCTCCTAATCCACGGTCTTTGCTTTGGTAGGCTGGGAGGAAACAGCTTCTCCTGGTGTTCATGGTGCAGAGAGGTTTAAAGCCATTGCACACCCAGGGGAGACTGTTGGGTAATACTGATACAGCAACAGGATGCTACCACACTTGCCTAGCATGGTAACTTCTTTATATATCTTTTCCTATAAAAGAAGGACAATGTTTTCATAGCCACTCTCCTCCCTACAAGCCAAGCTGCCCCATATATGTGAAGTCACCTGAGCACAAGAACAGGGAGCCTTGAACCACTGCTAACTGATTGGCACATCAAGCTGCTTAAATAAAAACATCAGAAACATCACAAGCCTAATTAACCCAATTAGGAGATCATTGTGAAGCTTCCGGGTTTTGTTCTCATTCACTGGAATGAGAGCTCCATTCACTACCTCGCCATTCGGGTGAGGTTTGCCAGCTTTCCTCAGCTGATCGCTCCAATGGTTTTTAGTGTCGCTAATGGCTTTTGAGACCTCTGCATGGTCCATTGATGAATCTGAAATGGACAGACTTCTGTACATTGCTGGAAAAGCACATGACTTCTAGTGTCTGGGCCACTCTGTAATGTGAAAGCCTCCAGCAGGATAAAAAAACCTGTCTTTTGTGTTCTTAGCAGGTCACCTTCTGCGCACTGTTGTTGGGGTTTCATATTGTTTGGGGGAAGCAATACGGGGTCTTACTGTGTAGCCCAGATGGCTTTGACATTACCTCTTGAATACTGGTACTACAATTGTATGCTACCACTCTTGTCTAGCATTAATTTCTTTAAATATCATTTCCTATAAAAGGACAATGTTTTCATAATAACCCCTCTTACTAGCATTACAATCTAAAATATTTTCCAAAGTTATTCACAGAAAGACATCATTTAAAGCTAAAATGAATTTTCTATATTGTGCCTTAGAGTGAATTATTTCAATCATTTATTTTGCTTTCTGTTTTTCCCATGTTCTTTGCTGATTTAGTGGAGCAGAAACCCTTCTATTAGTCTTTATGAATATCTGTACTGTTAAAGAATGTCCATTACCTGGTACTTATTATCCATAATCAATAGCCTTGTTTGTAATATTTCCATTTATTATCCTCACTCCATCCTCTCATAGACAGCTTTCCCAATGTATTTAATATGCACATTTCATTTGTATATATTCTTGTAAAATCTGTTTTGTCTGCATGCATGGTACTTCCTAAAGATTTTTCATTTATTTTCCACTTAACATACTACTTAGAAAACTAGCCATGATGCTAAGTGTACATCTAATATGTGGCATCTGCCCATTGCATAACCCTCAAGACTACATGATAAGCATATTGCCTATCCATTTCCCAGCGATGGACAGAGAGCTGGGTCCCATTTAATTCTTTGTGTTACAAACAGAGTTGCAGCCAGTCTGCTCATTCAGTTGCTTAGTCCTCTTCCTGTGAAAAACTTCCTGGGGGCTCTCTTCCCAGGGGAGGAAGTGCTGGAGCATTTGAAATTCTGTTTGAGACATTTTCCCTGACCCTCACTCACAAAGGCACATCTTTCCTATTCCTCTATGATTTATCTTTCATATATGGTCTTTAATTCCCCTCATATCATCTTTGTACAGAGTGTTGGTTTTATGTGAGTCAGTTTCAACCTGTTCTTTCCTTTCTTTGACTTGCAGTGTTGTTTATGTGTGTGTCAATTCTGCCTGTGGACTGACTTCCTCCGGAAACAGACTTTTTAGAAAATGATGTAGCTGGGAATATAACTCAGGAGTAGAGCACTTTTCTCACATGCTTAATTCTCTGGGTTCAATCCTAAATACTGCAATAAATAAATCAGCAAACAGAAATGGAAGAAAGGAGAACAGAAGCGACTATAATGAAAGTGTGTGTGTGTGTGTGTGTGGTGTATGTGTGTGTTTGTGTGTGAGTGTGTGTGTTTGTGTGTGTGGTGTATGTGTGTGTGTGTGAGTCTGTGTGTTTAGGTGTGAACCACGAAGCATCAGGAAAAGAGTGAAGAAGGGAAACGGGTGTGAGAAAGAATTTAATAAGGGTTTGTCACCATGACTGATTGGGGTTCTGTCTGTCAGGAGCTGTCTGGAAGAGAGTGTTGGTTTCGCCAACACCTGCAGGTCAGGCAGAGCAAGGAGATCCACAGAGACTTGCCATGAGAAACTGACTGGAGTACCTGGGATGGCCACTGTCAAAGGTTGGACTCTCCAAGCCCCAGTTCCATTACTTCTTGCCTTTATTTTTGGGTCCTTATTTGACTTTTCCAAGTTGTAGTTTTATAGTAGTCTTTGTAAGCAGGAACAGATAGTTCCCACCCTTAAGCTCCCTGTATTTAAAATGTCCTCAGGATTTGTAGACATTTAGTTTCTCATGTGGATGTTAGGTTAAATTTAGACGTTCCTTTAAAATAAAAAGCAAGTGGAATTATTCTAAATCAAGCCACACTGATAGTATGGGCTTTTCTTTGATTAATGTGAGGAAGACTGGGTATTTTTATCACAGTGAATGAATTATGCTTACTCCTATGGGCAAAGTGTTTGTTACAGATGGATTTAAGCTGGGTCCCCAAACACTCACATAAAAAGCCACCGTGCTTGAAATCAGTATTGGGGAAGTAGAGACAGGGGGAGCCATGGGGCTCACCAATCAGCCAGTCCAGCCTAACCTGTGAACTCCAGATCTCAGTGAGAGGGACTCTCTCTCTCTCCCTCCCTCTCTCTCTCTCTCTCTCCCTCTCTCCCTTTCTCCCTCTCTCTCTCTCTCTCCCTCTCTCTCTCTCCCTCTCTCTCTCTCTCTCCCTCTCTCTCTCTCTCTCTCTCTCACACACACACACACAAACAAGACAGACAGCTCCTAAAAAATCCCCCCCCAACATAATTGTTCCATTGAAGAAAAGATCCGTCTCCTTCTAGCTATCTTTTATTATAATTTTATAATTGATCTTTTTCTCTATAAATGCACTGTGTACTTACTACCTATTGCTTTTTGTTGCCATTATGGATGATGCACAATTGTCTCTCAATATATGCAGGGATTGGCTCCAGCACCCCTGAGAGTACTAAAATCCGTAAGCGCTCATATTCTTTATACAAAGCAGTGTAATAATGAGAACAACCCACATTCTTCTGTATCCTTTAAGTCATCTCTAAACTGTTTGTAATACTTTATGTGATGCGAGTTCAATATAGACCAAGCTGGCCTTGAACTCAGAGATCTGCCTGCCTCTGTCTTCCAAGTGCTGGAGTGCCACCATCTGAATGCGATGTGAGTAATCACAATACTGTAGTGTTTGGGAAATAACAACCAAAAGAGCCTGTATATACTAAGGAAAGATATGGCTTTTCATCCCTAAATGTTTCTAACCTATAGTCGGTTGAGTCTGTAGATGCAGAGCTAATGCATGGATTCAGAAAGCCAATTATATTTTAAACTGTATTGTTACATTACTGTTTTCTAGTGAAAGGGATTCTTACATATTAGTATTAGTCCTTACATTTGAACAGCAAGAAACTTAATTAATGTAATTCTTCACTATCACAGAGAGCAGGAAAAAAAGATCATTGCTGATCCCAAATGAACTTGGATAAAGTATTTGATTAAACTAGAAGTTGAAGATTAACACACCTCTTAGTGAGACAGAAAAGGAAAGGAAGTTCCTTAGCTAGGTAACGGGAGACACGTGAACTTTAAAGAAATGTTTTCTTTTAGAGAGAACTGTACTACAGATTGACTGTGTAAGACAAACACAGCTTTGACCAATGACACAGGAAAGGAATTCTTCAGGGCATTTTAAAAACTGATAATTTCACATCTGCATATATAATGTGTTCTGATCAAAGCCACTGCATTCCTCCCTTCCCTAACCCCCACCACTTTCCCCTCCCTCCCTCGTGTGCTCTTATGTTGTTTGTGAGACAGGGTTTCTCTGAGTAACAGTTGCAGCTGTCCTGGAACTCACTCTGTAGATCAGGCTGGCTTTGAACTCACAGAGATCAGCCTGCCTCTGCCTTCCGAGTGTTGGGATTAAAGGCGTGCGCCATCATGGCCAGCTTCATGTGTTCTTTTTTTTTAAAAAAAAAAAACCCTCTGAATCAGGGTCCAAGATCTAACTCTAATGCACAAACTGACTTAGCGGAGCCCATTCTATATGGAGAGATACCTTGCCCAGCCTAGACACAGGGGTGTGGGCGTGGAGAGGTGCCTTGGTCCTGCCTCATGAGATGAAGGGACAGACTTAGTAGTATACCTAGGGGAGGTCTTACTCTCTCTGAGGAGCGGAATGGGGCCTGGGAGGAGTGGGCTTATACTTTTGGACTCTTATAATGAAACAAAATGTTCTCTGAAGTCTTAGCTATAGCCTACAATTTTTGAGTTGTAATGTTTTTTTGTCATTCAACTCTAAGTTTAATTTCCTTTTTGTTCTAGAGTTAGTCACCAAAATTCTGCTTATTTGGTATGTTTACGTCATGGACTTGTTATTATTTCTTATTGCATTGCATAATGATTGGAAAATATATGCTAGATCCTTTCTAATTTCTGGAACCTTCATTTCTAACCTAAATCATTCTGGTTTTTTAGTGCCCAAATTTCCCCATGATTTCCTTGCAGTTGTTAGACTGGTGGAGTCTGATGCTGAATTGTTGGTATGTGCTAATGATGACAGTCACATCTTCCTGTCCATCTTATGTAAGCAAATAAATGCCTAGCTGTCTGTTTTGATAGCTTGCTTATTTAATTTATTTCATCAGCTATTAAGATTACTATGCCAGTTTTCTTTCAGTTCTTATTTGCTTTACATATCATTCCCATCCTTCCATACTTAAGTGTGGCTCTTGTGTGTGGGAATGATGGAAGGCATATACCACTAGGCATTCATCCTGGGGCTTTGCACATGCCAGGCAGGCGCTCAACCACTGAGCTAGGTCTTCAGCCATTAGGTATGATTCTCTCTCTCTTTTTTTTAAAGATTTGTTTATTTCCGTATATGAGTGCCTTATTTGCATGTGTGCCTTCATGATGGAAGAGGGCACCGGATCCCATTACAGAAGGCTGTGAGCCACTATGTGGTTGCTGGGAATTGAACTCAGGACCTCTGGAAGAGCAACTGATGCTCTTTCTTAACTGCTGAGCCATCTCTCTAGTACCCAAGGTGTGATTCATAATAAATAACTATTCCTAGATCTTTAACAAATAGAACACAAATCCAGTCTGAGAATACATGTCTTCTAATGCTATATTTTAGCATACTCACACGAATTATAATTACTCTATTTTTAAAGCTTGGTTCTGCCTTCTAGATTTTGCTAGATTTTGCAGTATTATTTCCTCTTATCTTTCCTTCTCTCTCTTTTTTTTTAGCATTTCCTAAGATAGAGTCTTGAGATTCATATATCTACATATATGGATGAATCTGTAGATCAGGCTAGCCTTAAATTTATGTACCTCAGTATAGTCTCAAACTTACAGGATTTCTCCTGCCTCAGTCTTCCAAGTGCTAGAATTATAGGTATGTTTCACCATACTGGCTCTTTTATTTTAATAAAATATTCTTAATTATTATGATGTCACAATGTTGGTAAAAATCACAGTTGTTCTCAAAGGGCAATACACTATTTTACTTTACCATAGTAATTATAAAGAAGACCGAAATTTTCACTAATTGTTGCAAGGATAATTTCTTACCTTAATCCACAATTGTAATTCTTGTTCTGTCCATAATCTTTGAGGTGATATTGGAGCACCTAAAGATAAAGTTTTGAATACACATTATTGTTATTATAGTATAGGTCTTTTCAAGTTATTTCTATGCAACTCCTTTTCGGATTCCAGTTGTCATTTTTATTTGCTATAAATTGCTACCAAGCTAATTCAACTAGATATGCCAACATTTGATCTTACATAAAAATCCATAATCGCCAAAGAAATCCCAACAACACAGTGAAGATATCTTAATACTCATAGCAGCTTTTTTATTGCCTGAAAGAGGAAATGGTCTAATAATATATGCAAAGCTGTGACAAGCACTTGAAATACATTATGCCCTTAATCATGTCAAACTTCTAGATAGGTATTATTATTATTATTGTTGTTATTATTACTATTATTCCTAATTCATGACAAGAAAACAGAAGCAAGGGAGTTTGCAGAAGACTACCTAAATCAATAAGTATCAAGAGGTGTGTGTTTGATTTTGTTGTGTTTTGGAAACCGGGTCACCATGTCTCCCAAAACTACCCACAAATCACAATCCTCCTGTCTCAGTTTCTTGAGTGTTGGAATCACATATGTGTACCTCTATGCTTGGCTTCAGTGCAGACTGTCAAACATCTCTGGCTGAAATAAATTCTGCTAAGTTCTATTTCCCCTAAATCTACTACTTGATACTCAATATTGCCTCAAGTACTAGCAGGCTTTTAGTATTATTTAATTTAAGTTATAATAATAGTCACAATTAGCTACATTTTCTGTGGTATTGATCTGATTCGTGTGTGTGTGTGTGTGTGTGTGTGTGTGTGTGTGTGTGTGTGTGCTGGAACTCAAACCAAGGGCCATGAACATACCAGGCCTTTTACCAACAATGCCCAGTTCTTTCTGAGGTAGCGAGTTTTAAAAATAACTTAGAAGCATCATATGGAGATTAAGTTCAGAACCTGGTGGGACCCCCTTTCTTGGAAAAAGGCTTCACACAGTGATGCATTTCTCACCATACCACAAACATGCACGACAGGCACAGTTCCCTATTTGAGCTCTTGCTGCCTGCAGGAAAGGATTAACCTGTGATTCAAATCTGTATTTAAAAAGTTACCTGGAGATCCTCCTGAGTGAGACTCTGTTTGACAGGCATTTCTGTGACTTATTTATCTTATTTATTTTATATGTTTGAGTAGTTGTATATACATACATACATACATGCATGCATACATACATGCATACATATTTCGTGTGGCTGAGAAAGCCAGAAGTGAGCGTCAGATCCCATAGACAGAGTGCTTTGTGAACAGAATCCAGGTCCTCCTCATGAGCAGCACATGTTTTAACCACTAAGCCATGTCGCCAACTCTAGCATTTTGGTTTAAAGAATGCCGATTTCCATTCCCAGCCTTATCCTCCCAGGACAAAGTGAAGTTTCTAACTCAGCTATCCTACCGTAGGCCAGACTTCCTCACCAAGACCACTGGGAATCTGACTCCTTCCAAACCCCAAACTCGCATGAGACACTTAGAAACTGTCATTGCGCTTAACAGTTCTAACCACTTATATCGAAATCAAAAAAAGGTTTGTGGCCCTTCTGCAAAACACAGTAAGTACAGTCTCAGGGTAAGAAAAGTGCAGAACCTAAGCTAAAATGCTTTTCTGTAGTTGATAGAAATCAACTAATATCATCTGACTGAACTCATACAGAGGAACATTGCTTTTTTCTGCCCTTTTCTAGAGCTGATATGCTTGGTGTGTTAGTCTGGTTTCTGTTGGGTGAACTGTAAAGAAAGGAGGTTATTTGGTTCAGTATTGGAAACTGTACATCTAGGCCCCAGCCTCCGGTGAGGGCCTCAGGATGGATAGAGAACCTGTTAGATCAGTGATCCTCAACTCTCCAGATGCTGGGACCCTTTAATACAGTTCCTCATGCTGTGGTGGCCCCTAACCATAAACTTATCTTCATTGATACTTCATAACTGTAATTTTGCTGTTGTTATGAATCGTAATGTGAATATTTGGGAGGTCTGTTGAAGGGGTTGTGACCAAAGGTTGTGGTCCAGTGATTGTGCAATGAGAGAGAAAGCCAGAAGGCGGGGAGGAGCCAGTCTCAATCTTGTAACAATCCACTCTGCAATGATCCAGAGTCCCAAGGGAACTCCTTTAATCCCTTCTGAAGGTGGACTAACACACCCTTTTACCTACTAACCAGACTAACACACCCAGTTACCTTCCAGTGTCCCACTAACCCAGATTCACTGTTACCACACCGAGAACCAAGATTCCAAAACTTAAATTCTGGAAGGCACACTCAATCCATGTCACCAGGGATGTGGCTACTACACAGTGCCGGCAGAAACTAGTACTTGCACTGCTCTCCACATTTTCCCAAAACAACATCACTCTTGTCTTCTTGGTCATAAAGATGGCAACTTTTGCCCATTTTTATTGAGGTATTTCTACTTAAGCACTATGTAATTAAACAGACCTGATTACTTTAATGGCAGCATCCATGTCATTGTTGCCAGCACTTCCCCTCGGTTAGCATGTGGGAAACAGTTACTATTAACTGAACATTAAGAATTAGTCAATGAAGGAGGGATCTTGGTAGGAAAGACATTCATTGTTAGTCTCGCTTGGCCATTGTGTATCTCTTACTGCTACAGGCATAATCAAGTGAGCGTCAGATACCCAAAGCACGTTTCTCTTCATGAGAAATTTCCCCCTTCCAACATATTTTCTGAGTTAACTATTTCTATCCAACATGGCTGGCTGGCCTTTATCATCTCAGTAGCTCACTGCCCTTGTGAAATCTGCTCCTTTTTTTTCATTTTTCCTAAGAATCTTACATTTATTGACATGTATTTTCTTCTGCTCTATTTTAGACATACCCAGTTACATTTGTGTACTGATTGCTCCTGTTAGATTATCTACAACTCTTGCATATATACGCTATGCATGTGCGGAACCCCATGTTTGGAACTTGGGACTAACTGAAGATCACACTGGCTATTTGTCCTGCCCATTCCCCACCCCACTGCATTTTAAGAGGAATAAAATTTGGTTTTTCATATCTGAAAGGGAATGAAGGCAGAAAAAGCAGTCAGGGTGCTTCCTGACAATGCAGAAAGCCTTTTGCTTGAATAATACCAAAGTTACTTATGATGTGACAGGTCAGCCAGCAGATTTGCTCATTTGGAAATAAAACTGAAGGCTCATCTGTTTTTTTAAGGAACCTGCTATCCACTCAGTTCTCTGAGACAGTCATTTCCCACAGCTGCAGGAGCCATTGCAAGCACATGGCATGCAACATGCATGGGAAGCATAGCTTTTCCCCTAACAAAACAAAATTCAAAACTATAGTTATCAGGGCTGGTTCTGTGGCTAAGAGTGCTGTGTGTTCTTCCAGGAGCCTGGGTTCAATTCCCAGAACCCTCATGGTAGCTCAAAATTATCTATATAACTCTAGTCTCATAGGATGCCACAACCTCTTCTGGTGTCCCTGAACACCAGGAAGGCACAGACATACATGCAGACAAAACACCCATACACATTAAATAAACAGATAAATAGAAATACAAATAAAGGTTATGATTATCTGGCTACAGGTACTTTATCTGCTACTGCCAGGCAATGTATTAAGTAAACCTGCTTTCTTTCTTAATAGACAAAACAAAACAGAAAACACTATAATTATCTCTTTCCTTGAGAAGATAAATGCAATTACCTTTCTAATATTTCCGATAAAATATTTAAAGGAGAAAAGGCTAATTTGGCTTTCATAAGTCATGGTGAATCGCTACTGCAAAGGTTAGTTAGTCTGATACCATGTGGTTGCTATCTGGCTTTTCTTTCTTTCAGAGGACAACTGGAGGGTGCCGGGCTAGATCTCAGGTCTTCATGCTTTGCACCAGACACCTTTGCCAGATGAGCCATCTCACTGCATCTGCTACCTTGCTTTTCAAATGACAAAACCTGTTCTTCCTCAATGTCTCATCAACAAAGATCAAAATAATGAAATGAAGGCGACAAAAACAGGTCAGGAAAGGAATATTTGTCTCTGTCCGTCTCTAACTGAGCCTAGGCTATGAGCTACGAAATCAATCAGCGGCTGTGACGATAAGTCCTCAATATTTCTGAAAAATTACCAGTCTGCTGACCTGGGCCTGGCTAGAGAATCCATGTTACAATGCAGTATTTGGAATTTGAAGAACCCTAATAATGCAGGAAGGAGTGATAGTACCCCAGATTACCTGGGAACTAAACTTTCTTAACAGAATCAACAGACACATTTCCTTCTGCCACTCACTCAGAACATCAGACCTTCCTCCCTGGTTTTGCTGATCCTGTGTTTCCCGGGAGCCAAGCTGGGGAAGTCCCTGTTGTCATCAGGTCCCACCTGCCTTGCTAGTCTTAGGCACCCATCATTAGAAACCCGGGTCAGCCTTGCATGGTCGCCTCAACTTTCTGTGATCAGAGCTCTTAAGCCTTCTAAAAACCTGCAAGTCCCGGCTCCTCCTCCACATTGTATATAACTCAACATCTAGCTTATCGGGAGGCCGAGCACACCCCAACCTTACCTCACCTTGGCAAGGGGAGTAGTAGGCTTTTGTCCCTCCAATAACTGCGATGAAAGGGTAAGTATTTTAATTTTCTTTTAACTCCCACTACGGAGTCCACAGTCCGCCCCTGTAGATCCCCCAGCTGGCTGGCCCTGTAGTCCAGAGCATGGTTTCAGTGGAAAATGGGTTGTAGAAACCCAGAAAAAGAGGGAAGGAAGATAAGAGAGAAACCGGTGCAGGGGGAGCCTGAGGACTCATGAAGCAGAAGGCAGAAGGAAGCATCTTACCTCTGCAGGCATCCGCGAAGCAGGCAAGGAGCAGCAGCAGTGACAGGAGCGGGGATGCAGCCACCACTTGTTCCCCAGACAGCTCTGGGCGGCTACCCGCTGCTCTAGACATCTCCAAAGCAGCTCTGGACTGGAGATCAGCGACCCTGTGATGTGCGGTGTCCTGGCTGTCCCTCAGCGTCCCGTTCCCGGTGTGTCTCTTGCTGAGCTCAGCCACCAAAGTGACCATCACCGCGCGCCACCAACTTTTAAATCTCGCGCACACGTGGGCTGAGCCGATGTGGTCTCCGCGCGCGTGACCTCGCCGCCCCTGGCTCCCTGGCGTCACCCGGACCTGAGGCCGCCCCCGCGGGACATGCTCTTCCCGGCCAGGCGGGTGTCTGACTCAGGGCACCACGCAATTGGCTCGGAGCTGGAGAGCGAAATTAAACCATGGTGGTTCACTCCCACCTGTGGTAGAACTTGGGTGGGAGCCAGAGGGGGGTGTCAGCCTCCAGAGACTGAAATCAGGGTGGACAAGTTGGCAGAGGTGGCAACACTGTCCCCTGCATCTCCTGGGGTGCCACAGTATGCCTAGCCCGTTTGTGTGGGTCCCCTGGCCAGCAGCTGCTTGAGCTCCAATCCTCTGAATGTTGAAACGTCTTTTTTCCTTCCCTGGTTGAGCTCAAGTTTGGTGCACAGTGTCCAGGACATCAGAGTGATGCTGCTTTCACTACAATGCAGTGAGGACGATGCGGTCCAAACCCCCAAATACCTGCAAAGTCTGAAATCATCCCTGAAGATGGAGGTGTCAGTTTAAAAAAGGTGATGAGGAAAGGCCAGAGCTTGGGCACCGTTGTAGAGGTGGAGAAAGTTTTCTGCAGGGCACAAGACTAAGATGGCCTTTTCTACCCTCTAATTTCCTGCTGAACCCCCCACTTCCGCTATCCCCACACTCCAGGAACCAGCCTCTAACAGGACACCGGGAAATACAATTCTAATTTCCTTCTGCAGAAGAAAGAGCAACTGATCTTATTTGACCTCTTTTCGAAAGGTGAGGAGCTCCGAGGAAAGGACAGGAAGGAAATACAGTACTGCTTCTTAATGGGGCATTTTGGGGTCATGTAGCCATGGACTTTCTCATGCAATTGCCTTTAATATTCATGACATATCTGCGGTGTAAAAATCCTGTTTTTTAAAAAGGAAAAGCCTATTGTAAAATGCACTGTTAAATTTTTGTAGGAAAATTCTGATTCAGAGAGAGTGAGCAACCTAGTCAAGCTTAGCATGGGAAAGAGCATGGGCCATTCTACTCTGCCTAAAGGCGGCTTCCTAAGCCAGGAGCCCGGCATGAATGTGAAGCCCACTATAAGCAAGGCAAGTCCCTTGAGGGAGTAACAGTTTAGTAGGAGGACCATGCCCTAACGGTAATTAACCTTCTGTAGAGCACTCCAAATCCATACCCATTAGCTGTGTGATTCCAGGTAGAATGGGGCTGTGTCGTTGAAAATACAAAGAGAAGTAGGAATGAAACCCCGTTGGTCAGATAGAAAAATAAATACTGGCTACTATTTTAAAGCTAATTACATACAAGAAGCACATGACGGAAGGTAAGAGTATAAAGACGCAATGATTAGGAATTTATTTGGATGAAGATTGTTTGCACTTTGATATAATCACGAAGTAGTAATAAATGGGTTGATGTAAGTGGTACAGCCTAAGAACGTAAGCGACCTTAGAATGGGGCAGGGACCTCAGAAACAGGGGAACTGTGGCTCTAGTCTTCCTCTCTCTTGTCTCCCAGAGGTCTCTGAAAGAGCCCGTTCTAAGCAGCCAGGGTGGTGTGGGTTAGCCATGACCACCGAGTATTGTCTTTACAATCCCCCTCAGCGCCAGGAACGTAAAAGAAAAGGCATGCATTGCCTGAGACGAGCTGCTCTGAGTGTTCTCACATGTGTCCCTGGTGCACACGTGTGAGAGTTTTCTGAGGTGCATACCTAGGAATGGAATTACGACATCAGTGGGGATGATCTAGGTAAATTCTATTGTAAATAAGTTTTCAAATGGCTGTACTGTCTTACACTCCCATCAACAGTGAATGAACTTTGCATGACTGCTAGTCTATGTAAAAAATCTTTGCCAACCCAGTCAATGTGGCATGTCTCTGTGGGTGTACTTTGTGGCTGCCTTTTTGTAAGTATGCTGACCATTATTGTTTCTTCATGAGTGGCCATCCATTGGTCCCTTTTGCCCTCCACTCCACTTAGTTTGTGTTCTCACAGGTCTATATAGAGGCGTTAAGTATTGTGGAACCTCTATTGGTTAAAACGAACCCGACACCTCCCCCACTTGCGGCTTCTTTAGATCTCCGCATGAATTTCCATTTTTGAAGATGTGTTTAAGGAAACATTGACTCAGAGGTCACATCACTCTGAGACATGGATAGCAAGATAAGGTAGACAGGTGAATAGGGGCAGATTTATTTCCCTAGGAGCAAAGATTGAGAATAATTAAATGGAAGATGATTGTGTATATCCTTCTCTGTCCCAACATTTTTTTAAGGAAGCTAAACTCTAGATCTGGATTTTATCTCAATTTATGATGAAGAAAGGTCAGGATTAAATATGATAACAGATTGGGTTGGACATTGGTAATCTTTGCAATTTAGTGAGAGGTAAATCTGCCTATTTTGTGACAAAATTCATATTTTGCTGTATATTGTCTTCTGTCTTAATTTATCTCTTCTAACTCTGTAGATATCAACCTCCCCCTTTCAAAAGTCGAGTGTTTTTATTGGAATGATGTTTGGATGGACTATTCTTACTGGAAATCACCTCCAGAGAAAGACTTTTCAGGAGACAACTAAAGGCATTATTTTATACAATGAATACACCACTTCAAACAAGACAGTCTCATGTGACTAAAGATCAGCTGGAGACTAATTCACAGGACAGCCAAATGTATTAGAAGAGGAAGGAAAAGGTGGTGAGAGCAGGGGGCAGTGCCTAACACCTGTCAATCCAACCCTTAGGAGGCTAAGGCATAAGAGTTCCAGTGAGAGCCTAGGCTACATAGCCAGACCATCTTTTAGGAAACAGTAAATCAAAGCGAAACAAAATAGCAAAAGTACAATAAATACAAGAAAGAGAGGAATCAAGCCAAGTAGGTCAAGCCTGTTTAAGAATTACAACTGTAGGGTAATTAATGTTGGTGAGACAGTGGGGCACAGAACTGTGAGAAATACATCTTTTGCAAGAGGGAAGCTTTGTTTGCTTTTTGCAATTGCTGTTAATAGTCACTTTAGGCATTTTTTAAAAAAAGTAATAAGCCATGCTATTCAAAAGCCTTCCCCATGGAGTGATTTTCAGTTTTATCCAATGTATGCAGTCACTGTGAGGCCAAGTGATGGCAAGTGAAAGGCTCATGTGAAAGTCCAAAGCCACCTTGGCTACTGTTCTGCAGAACAGACTGGTCTGGGACTCTTGAAGTCACTTGTCGTTTGTAGGCAGGCCTCTAGTTACTGACTTCCTATCTGGAGGTCAGAGCAGGTTGAGAAGCAGCAGCACAAGGTTATCTCAGAGACAGCTTGGAGGCATAAAGTCCCTTTAAAAAGATGTAATAAAAGGCATGATGGCTCCTATAATCTCAGCTGTTGGAAGACTGAGACATCAGGAGTTCAAAGCCAGTTTGAGTTACACAGCAAGCTTGAAGCCAGACTGGGAGAAGGAAAAAAAGAGAGAAGGAAAGGAGGCAGGGAGGGAGGGAAAGAGAGAGGGAAGGAAGGAGGAGAACAGGCAGGCAATAAGGATTTTTAAAGGAGCAAAGGCAGTAAGTAGTTGGTGCTTGGTTAATTGATGCCTGCGAGGCTAGGTTTTCACATCATAGATGTTCAGAGTATAAAGCCATCACAAGAAGCAGCAGTATATTGCCAATTTAAGATGCCATATTAAAACATTCCAATTCATTGAAAGCAGAATCTTTTCTTTGTTCCTTACACTGCAATTAGAATATTAAAATATGCCAATTAAAGATTTATTAGATTTCCCTGACACATTTGTGAATCACATCCGGACAAAGCTGGCAGATAAACACATACTCACAGGTTTATGAAGTTTTATAAAAATGGAACCTAAAATTAAATGATAGTTATGAAAATACAAGGACAGACAGAGTAATTTTTGTTACTTCTACACAACACAATGTATAACCATTTTAAATGACTAGACTGATTTTTAAAATAGTTTTTAATTTAAATTAGAAACAAGTTTGCTTCACATGTCAATCCCAGCTCCCTCTCCCTCCCTTCCTCCCTTGCCCCTCAACCAGCCTCCCAGTCCCCCCACCCAGTCCCCACACCATTCCCCAGGGAGGATGAGACCCTCCATGAGGGATCTCCAGAGTCTGTCATTTCATCCAGGGCAGGGCCTAGGCCCTTCCCCATGTGTCCAGGCTGAGAGAGCATATCTCCGTGTGGAATGGGCTCCCAAAGTTCATTAGTACACCATGGTAAATATTGATCTGCTACCAAAAGCTCCAGAGATTGCTGATGCCTCCTTACTGACACCACATTCAGGGGGTTTGAATCAGTCCCATGCTGGCCTCTCAGTCATCAGTCTGGGGTCCAAGAGCTCCCCCTTGTCAGGTCAGCTGTCTCTGTGGGTTTTACCAGCACAGTCTTGACCCCTTTGCTCTTCACTCCTCCCTCTCTGTCACTGGGTTCCAGGAGTTCAGTTCCGTGTTTAGCTGTGGGTATCTGCCTCTGCTTCCATCATTTGCTGGATGGATGAAGGTTTGGCAGTGAGATTGTAGGCTGGCATTCCCCTGATCCATGACTGAAAACCATATATGAGTGAGTACATACCATATTTGTCTTTTTGTGACTGGATTACCTCACTCAGGATGGTTTCTTCTAGTGCCATCCATTTGCATGTAAATTTCAAGATTCCATTTTTTCCACTGAGTATTATTCCATTGGGTAAATGTACCACATTTTCTCTATCCACTCTCATTTGTGGGGCATCTGGGTTGTGTCCAGGTTCTAGCTATTATAAATGCTGCTATGAACATAGTGGAGCAGATGTCCTTGTTGTATGAATGTGTATCTTTTGGGTATATGCCTAAGAGTGGAATTGCTGGGTCTTGTGGTATACGGATTCTCATTTTCCTAAGGAATCTCCATACTGATTTCCAAAGTGGCTGTATGAGTTGGCACTCCCACCAGCAGTGGAGGAGGGTTCCCCTTTCTCCACATCCTTTCCAGCACAAACTGTCATTGGTGTTTTTGATTTTAGACATTATGACAAG